ATCGTATGACATATCTTGAGTAGGCTTAAACGGTAAACGTGTTCTGTATAACTTTTCCTCTTTGGCCTAATACTTTTAATCGTTGTTGAAGATTTGGTAAGAATATCCTTGGTTGATCAATAAACGTATTAAAAAAGGTAATCTATATTTATTTATACTTTATACTAATATAATAAAGCGTAAACACATACTACTTTGTAGACTACTTTTACTTTCACTTTTTTATAAAAAGCCCTATACTTACGACACGCTTTAGGCTATATATTTTCACACTATTATAGATAGGGGACAAATAAATTGTAAAAAACCTTAATGTGGGAAAGGGAACATAAACTACAAGCTGACAACATCAAGGAAGCAAAGTAGCCGCGATTGTCATTTGTTTATTTGATTTTGATTTTACAATTGAAGATTTCGCAAATGAAAAAAATAAAATAAAGTTTATGTAATTCTTTGCGGATGAAGCCGCACGGGAACAGCTAGTAGACATGATAAATTACCCTAAATTATATCATTTAGTAATTTCGCAATCTGATTTAGATTTTAAAATGGGAGTTCAGAAGTAACTTCGTAATACCAAATTTGAAGGAGACGGTTACCGAGAGAAAGTTTTCAACGAAATAGCAAAAGTTAATTACGCGGTCGGAATTTCAATCAATTTTGTGAGTAATATCTTAAACGAAGTGGTCTTTTGGATGTTCTTACAAATTACTATGCTTAATGTCTTGAATGAAAATAGATATCACAAGATGCGAAGAATTTTAGTTTTAAATAGTTCAAATGAATCTTTAAGGACTACAATATTATCATCAGGTTTCTTTACTGCTGTTCTACAAAACTTAACGTCTTTATTCTACGTTTTTATAACTTTAGACTACGATTCATAATCCATATCTATACTATTATAATAAAGCGTAAACACACACTTCTTTGTTGCCTAAAATGTCAACAATTATAGCATATTTATTGATAAATTCTTTTTGTAATAAAAAGCCCTACACTTTCGTCATGCTTTAGGCTATATTTTTTCACGCCATTAAACATAGGGGTTAATATTTTGGATAAAAAGCCTAATGTGGGAAAGAGACCAAAAGTTGCTGCCAACATCAAGGAAACAAGATTACCAAGGTTTGTCATATTATGTCATTTTGACATTTGCTGTTGATAATTTGACAAATGTAAACAATAAAGTAAAATTTACATAATATCATGCGGATGTAGTCGCAGGGGAACAACTAGTAATTTAAATAAATTAGATCGGGACGAAGAATCATCTAAGAATCATGCAGTCTGAAAAATTATGATGTGAAAGCTTAAAAAATTGCACAGCCAGATAATGATAACTAACAGCTTTATCGTGTTTAATATGGTCTGTAACATTTTTTCTGCACATAATTTATACGTTAAATATTTCACAAAGTTTGAAATACCAAGATCCGCGCGGTATTTGTTACAGTCTCCGTGCATAGTTGTGGTTTAACCTGAATCTGTTCAGGTATCGATCTTTCCTGGTATGTGAAGCAAGTGCGCATACCTCTCCTGAAATCAGGTCGACACATTTCGATAGTTAATTGTGGTGAATTAATAAAATCGTTTAAGGCAATTAAGTCGCTAATAGCGTAACTAAAATGTAAAACATGACAACTTATCAAAATTAATGGGATACTGTTGCGAGACTTAAAGGTAAACACATCTTTAATACTACAGAGATAACAATCTAATAACTTCAATTAAATCTGTCAATAACAGATGAAATAGAGAATAGATACAATAAAAACAAACAAGGAACGAGAAAGGAATCAAATCGCGGTGACGACACCGTAATCCTAATCCCGCGCCGCGTTGACGTTAGCTGTTAGCTGTTAGCTCGCTCCACTTTGATACTTTTGCTTAACAATACAAATGTACAACGGTACAAATGGTACTAAGCACTTTGTACCTTGTAACACTTTGTCTTTCGATATATTTTTAAACAACATGTTTTGATAATTCCTACTTTTAAAATCTCTTCACCGTGAACTCTCAATAGCAACGATACATCAATGATAGCAATGAATACGCCATGACTTTAAATAGCTTAATACCTTTGATACAATCAATACTTTTACATGGCAAAAAAAAAGAAAACAGTCACATCAGTGCGACTTACTATTCAATGCGGGAGATTATGAATATGAATGAAAAACAAAACACGATATTTTCTAAAAAAAGATGAAATTAATGAAAGGAATTCAGGTGATATGTGTGTTTTAATCGATTGGTTCTCTAAATTTATATTTACGGTGTACGAAATTTATGTTTATCGTCAAATAATGTGACGCTGTGCTCCGGGGATCGGTCGCCACTCGGGAGCTTTGCCGAAATGGAATGTAAACAAATTTCCGGTCTCTGCCCCAGTTACTCAACGAATTTGCGTTTCCAATCCTAACGCTTTGTTTAGTTATTTGTCTTTGCTAGATGTTATGGAAGCCTCGTGATGTATATATATACATTGAACAATAAAACTATCATTAAAACATCGTCAATATAAAGATTGTTTTGATTTAAGTTAGAATTAAGTAAAATTACTACTTGTTTTTCTTTTATAAGACGCTTGGATTATGTTCTAGAAACTAATTTCGCACGCTCACATTATTTATTATTGACAAACAACTCGCATTAAAACTTTTCCTAAATCCCTTATGCATTAAGACGTCACGAAAATAACTAAACTTCTTCTCATTGTGTCAACATTCTTGAAACTTTTGCTACACGTTAGTCATGAGCTCGTACGTTTTTTGTAATAGTATTTGATGGTAACGTTTTTTACTTGCTGTGTTTGGGATTTTCGGATATTAAAAGTCTTTTTAAGATTAACTATAATATCGTAAATTTTTAAAGATAAAAACGCAAAAATATAAGAGAAAAAACTTGGCACACTTTATTTCATTCGATAAAACAGGTCACGTTGTTTCAGATTATTTTTTTCAATTAACTTTGTGTCCTAAAAACGAACTTCAAAAACAAGGTATAAAAGATACAAGCACGTAATAGCTGTCCTATATACGATACAGGAATGAAGGATTAAAGCAAATCCGGCGGGTAACTGGAACACGAAGCGTAGTTTTATTCATTTCATTGCGACCACAGAGTGGGCACTGATTCTATGAACATGTATTACGGTTAAATTATCTAAATAACACATTTAAACATTTTAACGATATGCAAATAAATACCATTAGTTTATTCACTGAATTACCATTAAGTAAATAAAATAAATCGTCTATTCGTTAAACGCAAACTCTGATAGTTTACTAAACGAAATATACTTTCATACTTGATATTATTAAAGTGACAGTTTTATTAATATTGTTACTACATATCTCTTAAACGGATCTTAGTAAAATTTGGCACAGATGTACGAGTAGAATATAGTATGGAAGTACGCATAGGTTATTTACAAAGTTTTTTAGCTAGCAATACTACGAGTATAAAGCTTCATTGCCCACTCTCAACGACTTACATAAGTATATTTAGCCTACAACATATAACACAAGAGCACAAAACTAATAAAGTACGTTACTACTATAAAAGTATCTTACATCGTCCAGATTGTAAAAGGAGATAGAGGAGCTAATAAAAAAGACTTAGGTCTATTTTTCAGGGCATGTAGCGACGCAAGCTCGACGTCGGAGCTTAATTGTGGTCGTTACGGAGACGTATCGCCGCTATAAATACTTGTAATTTAACTTTTAAATTAGCTTGTTAATCGATAGCTTTACATTTATTTTTCTATTACATCCAACTAATTTGTTAAGATCAAATGAGCATAACATCCTTGATATTTCTTTGGTTACATTTTTCAAGCAGATGATAGAAAACTGGTCCCTCGGTTGATGTTACCTCGACTTTCACTGCCATATTAGGACATAGGTGGAATTCAGTTTAGTTATTTCTATTGATAGTTACGATTTTATAAAATCAATGTTACAATATACATGCCCCTTCATTACTTTTTTCCTGTATTACTGTTATATATCATCAATCCTTACATAGGCAAGCTCTACGTGTATAAACAACTATAAGTAATGTACAAACGTCTTCGGGTTTCTGTAACGGATATTACAAGACCGCATGGGATTCTGGTTAGTAACTAAATCAGCGGTTGCTACTACATTTGCTTATGTAATTGTATATGTACAAAAATAACTATAACATGAAATTAAAGATTAAAATAGATAAGGAAAACTGGAATAGCCTGATAAAAAAGAAGACTGAAAACATTTGTACATTACTGTAAAGAATAGCACAAAAATTGATAAATAGAAATCAAGACGTCATGTATAAAGATGCCTTCAGTTAATTGTAAATTATTGTATTGTGTGCCTCAATCGTAAGTAGTTTTAAAATCATTAGAAATAAATATACCTATTCTAATTATCAGAAAAAGTAATTTAAAAAAATGTATATGTTTTAACAAAAAAAAAATAAGAAAATAAGAAGTACCTAGCCCAAAAAATCTCTGATCCTTATGTTAGGGGTACGAGGGGGTGGCATAGAGCCGCCAAAAACAAACATGAAATCCTAAGTTGGATGTTCAGGTTGTTGCTATACTGGCTGGAGATCAAAATGAGCACATTATCATATAATCGTATGATTTTAAAGTTTTATAGTTAATGTAATTAAATCTATATTCTAGTTAACTCATGAATTAATGCATTTCGACATCTGGGTCACCCGTATCAAAACAATTGAAAACTCTTACACAAGGAGTCAATTGTTTAGCGTATGTATAAATGGGAATGTTTATTCTGGATCAAATTAGTCTGACTTGTTCATCTAGGTAAGTAACACATTCTATTTCTAATAAATTAAAAAATAACCTATAAATTTATACGGAAAGGTAAAAAAAAGATTATTATTTTTAAAAGAAATTATATTCTTTTTATTTGGCCAGTTAATTTATTGCCCTGTAGTTCCTAAGAAGTGTTTTATAATCATTTGCTTATCTTAATAGAAACATGCCGCCAAATGTAGACCCGATACCAAGTGGAGTTGTGTTCGAAACTGACACTCAAACACCTGATCTCGGACTTGATAAAGATGTCTCCCAATTAAAGAAAGCTACGCCAAAGAAGCATGAATATGTGTGGTTCAACATATTCTGGTTCCTCTTCCTGCATATCAGCTCAGCATATGGATTGTACTTAGCATTCACGTCTGCTAAATGGCAAACTAACGTTTTCGGTAAGTTTAAAAAGATTTTAATTCATATAATAACAAATAACTAGTGAAACTGCACAGTAAATATAATTGACAAATATATGTTTCGGCTTCGCTAAAGATCTATTGCAAAAGTAGTATTAAATTAAAAAAAAACAGGCATATTAAAACTAAAGAGTTTTGATCTAAGGGTCACACAATTGTTAATGAAAATCAAAAGTATTTTGGGAATCCAGGGATTGGGAATCTAACTATCAAATAAGGCGATTTGTAAATAAATTCTCACTTTTTGATTGCCTCAATTAGTTATTGCTAGATGGGCTATTATCGAGAAAACAGTATTTACTGAAATACAACATCTTTTAATGTATTTCAGCGTTCGCTATACACCTGATGTGTGCAATCGGTATCGGCGCGGGATCTCATCGTCTATGGACGCACAGATGTTTCAAAGCAAAAACACCTCTAAGAACTGTTTTGATGATTTGGCAAACCATGGGCTTTCAGGTTTGACTGTTTTAAGTATTTACAACTATTTATAATTATGAAATAACTATTAGTACAAATAAACGTTTTCTTACACAGATTATTTTAAAAGAATTAGACATTGATACGACTTTAAAATAAAATAGAGAAATCGTAATCAATAAAAATGCGATTGTTTTAAAATTTCAACCACAATGTTGAATGATAAAAGAGGTACTTCATTCAACTGAGATTTCATTTTTTCCGAAACTCCATACTTCAGCTTAATGACGAATCGTATTTGGGTCACATCTTGGTCAATTTCAATTTCATGAAAAGTGCGGAATCGCGCTGAGTGCAGTTAAAATCTCACTGCATTCAAAACGGTAAATTAATTAAATGTGCCAAAATCAAAAGTAATTACGTTTCCAACGCTTCTGTGTTACTTCACTTAGGGCATAAATATATTTAAAAAAAAATTAAATAAGATTAACATTTGAGTTTTTACTGGGAATTTGGTTGATAAGGAACATTGCTAGTAGATTTACAAACATTTTATAAAATAATTGCCAACTCAATTTTTTTGAGAACAACTTCAATAAAACAAAACTTTACTTACCTCATATAAAAATAAACACATGTTTCATACTTTTAATTGTTTGTATAACTAACGTACGCAGTAAGAGTATAACTCGGAGGCGAGTCATTTTCTCAATTTAATGGAATTGACTTTACGACCCGGAGGAAAGCAATTACTGCTGCTATAAACCGAAAAGCCTCCCGAATAAATCCTTGCTAAAGTTTAATATACTTTTATTAACTTTTATAATTCAGAAAATTGTTTACTGTATCTACTATAATAAGATACTAGCTGTTACTCGCGACTTCGTCCGCGTGAATTTATAGAGATATAGCCTATGTCACTCAGTGATAACGTAGCTTTTTAATGGTAAAAATATTTTTTAATTTGCCCCAGTAGTTTTTAAGTTCTTTCAACACACACAAAAATACAAATCTTTTCTCTTGATCATGATTCTATTGAAGGAGAAATTGACATAATGGCTGATTTCCATTTGGCCATTACAGTTAGACACTAGCGCAAGCCAGGCATGGATTGTACGGACTCACTGGCGCCAGCTAGTATTAACTTTGACAGTCGATTACCAGTACAGTTATTGTGCCTTATTGTCCAACTATACTGGTCAAGTTTAAACCATAAATAAGCATTTATGTTTTTGCGATTCAGGACAGCATATTCGAATGGGCACGAGACCATCGCACTCACCACAAGTACGCGGACACGGACGGCGACCCTCACAACGCGGAGCGCGGCTTGTTCTTCTCCCACATGGGCTGGCTCTGCTGCAAGAAGAGTCCAGAAGTCATCGAAGGCGGCAAGCGTATTGATCTAAGCGATCTATACGAAGACCCGGTAGTCATGTTCCAGAAGAAGTAAGATTCTATTGCTAAAAATCGTTCGTTAATTTATTTTAATTCTCTTAATCTGCACTAGAGGGTGGCAATCCTGTATCGCTTTAAAGAATTCGAATCGAATGAAATGATTAGTTATAATTTGAATAAGCGTTTATGGTTTAAAACATTATTGATATCCTTGTCATACTCTTAGCAAAAACAGAAACAACATGTCTTTTTACAAGTATTACGGTCGTTTCACGGTGTATAGCACAATATAGCCCAAATGTACCTACTTGTTACAGGCATTATTTGAAAATGATGCCAATCCTATGCTTCGTGTTGCCGACTGTATTCCCCGTACTTTTGTGGGGTGAGAGCTGGACCAACGCTTTCTTCATACCGACCATCCTCCGTTACACCTTCGGTATTAACGTCGTCTGGAGCGTTAATAGCTTCGCTCATAAATTCGGATATAGACCCTATGACAAGTAAGTTTTACAGATTTTATTTTATAATTAAAAGACTTGACCACGATCCTACCTACATATGTTAAGTGGTAATGTCACAAGAGAGTATACGCATGCTTAGTCATTGTCTATTCACTCTGCTCTTAAAGCCACCCACATTATACTTGGGCGGAACAACAAACTTATCAAAGCTAGTGCCAAGTTAATAAATATAAACAGTAAAATTTGTTATTAGAAAATATTAAAATATCCACATTAAAATATTTTCAACGCTACAAAAATCCTTATTTCACCAAATGCAGACTAGGTTTACCAAAAGAAAATAAGAGAATCAATGTTATTTTTATCCAACTATAACCGAAATGGAAATAAAAAGCACATCTGCTTCTTTTCAGAGCAACGAATGCGAGCAAACTTTATAAATTATCACTACTAGTATAATAAATTCAGAAATGTGCAAGTAAATTATTATTTTCGTGCATACTTTCTTCTTTATTAAATATATTTCTATTTTACCATGTGATAAAATATGTTCAGCTGTAGATCATCGTAAAACATAAAGGGCACTAAATATTCATCAGATATGAGCAAACATATATTTCTTTTATGACGTACAAAAAATACATTTACCTCATCGTGACGGCATATTTCATACATCGCGTAATAAAATCCTTTATCCTGCGTCGTCTATTCTAACGACTTCTCGACAATTCTCATGTTGGCAGCGATCCAAAAAGGTCAGAATCTAAAGAGTAATATTCAAATCATTTTATAAACCACACACAATCATATCCTTTTACCAAAAAAACAAATAGGTTATTCAGTAATAAAATTGGCAAATCCTTAACGTTACCGGTTACTGTTAGTATAAATTCAATGAATAATTTAACACGGGATATTAAAAACATTTCAAATTCTCCAAAATACAGATTCCATTTTTAAATAACCGTTCGAATTTTAAATAAAAGAACAAAAACAACAAATCCCACTAAAGGCATTCAGTTTTAACTGAACTGAGAGCTGGTTTTATATAAGATTCTTAAAAGGGTATCGATTTTTTTATCTAAGGTCATTGAACCCTCGGGAGAACATCGCCGTATGGATGTTCTGCGTGGAAGGCTTCCACAACTACCACCACACGTTCCCTTGGGACTACCGCGCGAGCGAGCACCCCCTCATCAATATGTTGACACCAACTATTGTGTTCATTGAAGCGATGGCTAAGGTAAGCACCTGCAATCATTTTATGGTTTAAGTTATGATATACTAACATTATTTAACTATTTCTAGTTTGAAGTTAAATTACAAGCTCTATTGTATAGACGATTGTCGAATGTTGAATCCACACAATAATCGAAGCTGTCAAAACAGTATATATGGAAGTGCTTTAGACATTTCCCTTGATGTACTGCTTTGGTCTTGTATTTTCAGATCAACAAGAAATTTATGGCTTCGGAGTATTCCGGTTAAGTTAGCGAACGTGCTAATAATACCACACTCAGAGTTATTAAGGGTAGATTTAGCAAAAGAAATCTAAATGAACTTTATTAACCTTACCGTTACATAACGTTTCCTAGATTACTAATAAATAAAAAAACAAGCAAACCTCATTTTTCTTATTTCGTTTCATAGCTTCGTTTGTTGTTTCAGATCGGACAAGCTTACGACTTGAAGGCTGTATCTCCTGAAATTATCAAACAACGTACATTACGTACTGGAGACGGCACTCACCAGTTATGGGGATGGGATGACCCTGAATTTACTGAACGACTTAAAGCCAAGTACGGATCTATACATTGCACCGAAGAAAAGAAAGATATGTAACTCACGGATTAATATAAGGAGGAATTCATTTAATATAAATTAAGACTGTTTTGTATTGCTATGGGTATTAAAATATTAACAAAATACGTTTTACCTACTTTTTTTAATATCACTGCAACGTTTGGAAATAGAAGGTAGAATATAAATGTTATGTTTAGTCTCCCTATCGTTCTCTAATTGCACAAAGAGTGGGAGAAGCGCGGGTATTTCAAAAATGATTCTGAGATTGGCAGAACAAGACTATAAAAAACTTTTCCGACACAGCTGCGCCATCGTAAAGGATAAGCGTAAATCAATACCAACCACTCTCGTTAGCAACTATAATCAATGCATTGCATTCAGCTATTAACTTATGACACATAAAAATTATGTTAAAGAGATTATAAAATCCAACAAGTAATATTTAACTTTTATATGTACATTCAAATGGTGAACAGCAACACAACTTACGTTTGTAAAATAGAGATTGTTGCTGTAAGTCATGTAAGTGGCAGGTGCGCTTATATTAAAAGTGTGACTATGTAGAGCATCACGAGAAAAGGACAATCATAATGTTAAAAAAATGTGTGATTGTCAAGCAGCAAGTTAACTTTATGTTCAATGGTGACCTCTGCATAGTTTTATTGTAATAAAGATCAGTGAGTTTGTCATACATTTCTACATATTTCTTTTCATTTCTCATACTATTCTCTTCGGAATTCGGATGTTTAATTTTATTTATTATTATAAAAAAATAACTCAATGGTTATATTAAATGTCAACATTTGTGAAAAGATGGCAACATATGATAATGTCCGATCTTATGTCAAATGTGACGTTAAATAATGAAGTGATTGTTGTTATCAGAAAAATAGCAAAATAAGCAACAAAGTGTAGATAAAACTGCTAACAATTTTGGATTGACAGTGAAATTACCAATTAATTCTTTCGTGTAGATCATAGAAAATGTTATCATCACTTATAAAAGAACATCAATCTAAGCAAGCTGCAAAAAGAGTTGTACAAGGTAATTCAAAGTAAGGAAAAATGGTATTTATGCACCCTTTCACTCTTTTATTCAGTATGTTTAGTTTTTTTCAGAACAAAAACGTAAAGAATGTATAGCAGCAGCAAATGAGCTTACTCAAGCACTTGTAGACCACCTCAATGTTGGGTAAGTTAACATAATTTAGATTGATCTTTATACAGCTCTCTATAAACAAAACATAACTTCAAAGTGGTGTGTGATGGTAACGGTTTACCCTTTGAAGAATCACAAATGGAATTATAACTTTCCAACTTATGCTTCTAAATCCTTAACTGTCTTTCTAAACATAATTACCAGACTTAACTAATGCCATTTTTCCTTATGTTTAATAATAACTATTTTTATTGCAATAAATCAATTTGATATATTCAGTGCCAACCACTCAACCAATGACTACTTAAACATAGAAACAGTGGTACTGAAGGTGTTAAAATATTATTTTTTTCTATTTCAGTGTTGCACAAGCATATCTAAATCAAAAGAAATTGGATGCAGAAGCCAAACTGCTACATCAAGGTGCAATGAACTTTGCTAAGCAAACACAACAGTGGCTTGCGTTGGTGGAAAATTTCAGTAGTGCACTCAAAGAAATAGGAGATGTAGAAAATTGGGCCCGTAGCATTGAAAATGATATGAAAATAATCACAGACACATTGGAAAGAGCTTATGTTACTACACAACAATCTGGCAGTCAGTAATTTTATTTATATGTAAGGAGAAATTAATAAATTAAACAAAAGCATTGCTTAATTGTATTTATTATATGTCCTGATCTAAAACAAATTTTAATAAATAATGTGCAATAACTGCCATGCTGCAACATAACAATTGTTTGATTTTTTTTTATAGTTATTCCACATTTCAGAAAGAACTCACCCCAGTCATAATGTTTAATTAAGAAAAGTGCATGTATAAAGCTAATAACAGTATTTGCTAGTACTTTTGACTAATCTGTGTACTGTTATATGAATAATCTGGTGTTTTATCCCGGTGAAATCGAATTAATAAAGCCATTTTTTACAGTGGCAGGATAAAATCATATTTCCAAGTTTTCCACTAAAAGTGTCAATTCTTTAATGTAAAAGGCAACACCGAAAGTTGTCTTTTTTTGACAGTTAGACTTAAGAAAAGCTGGCAACATCAACAGCTGTTAAAATAAAGATCAAATCAGTTGTCAATGTTGTTCGTTTTGTGGAAGATGTGATCTCAGTGATTTGTTGTCTTAATTCTTTAAAGTAATTAATTTTTAATAAATCTTAAGTTGTTTCTTTAGTAAAACTATAGTATAGACATATTATAGCACCCAATTATAAGAAATTGATTTGACCACAATACGTAATATCATTTTCCTTGATATTTGAATCCTGATTAGTAATTAAATTGTACAAACACCTACTCTTATGAGTCTCGTTATCGGTGTTGTTAGGTTAACTTTAGCTAATTAAGTTGACTTGTTTTTGTCCAATAAGAATAGTCATAAAACTCGCCATGCTCTCCGACTCCACCCCAAGGGTGCTTTCAATTCAGAGCCATGTTGTGCATGGTTATGTTGGAAACAAAAGTGCTGCATTTCCATTGCAAGTAAGTATGATTAAATATTAATTTTTATCATCTTATAGTAGTCTTAATATCAATAATTAAAATGTTCTGCTTTGAGCTCACTCACCTTAAAGTCTATAAAAAAATAGTAACGAAATAGATGCTCATTATTATAATTGAAGTGAGTAATTAATTAGACTGTTCCATTAAAAATATAATTTTTTTTTTATAACATAAGGTGGCAAACGAGCAAGCGGCCACTTGAATCCGCCAAAATGGCGAAGCGACCGCTGCCCTTAGACATCCGCAATTGCAGATGCGTTGCCTACCCTTATACGACGGAGGAGGAGACGCACATAAAGAGGATATTTCCCCTTCCTATGCATCTCCTCCACCGTCAAATCCACTCCCCCTTCCCATCCTCTCCTTATAAGAAAAGGGTGATAAAGAGAAAGGGACTTAAATTAGGCCTCCGGCACCACGCTCATCAGACGAAACACGGAATTGCTTCCATTTCACGCGTGTCTTCTGTGTGGTCGTGGTATTACACCGGGCGTGCCGGCCCTGCAGTGCTAAGATGTTAAAGCGGGCACTACCACTGTAAATAAAAAAGCTTTTAATTAAATTCAATGTGTAAAGCATTAAAAGGTTTAAAATCTTATATTCAACTCACACTACGCATGTTTGAGAAATCTGTTCTTACTTTAATAATCTTATATTCAATATTGTTTTAGGTTTTGGGATTTGAAGTTGACTCAATAAATACAGTTCAGTTTTCAACCCACACTGCTTATAAACACATCAAAGGGAATGTATTGAAGAATGAAGAGATGGAAGAACTAGTGCAAGGTCTAATGTTGAATGAAGTTGACTACTACACACATTTCTTAACTGGCTATTCAAGATCTCCGGACTCTTTAAAACAAATAGCAGGAATAATTAAAAAACTAAGAGAGAAAAATCCTAATCTTATTTATGGTAAGAGAATCAATTGTTTTAAATTATCTATTTCAATAGCGTTACAATTGGACACCTTGGTAATACTATGCAATGCTATCAAGAGTAAAATTTTAAATACAATTCTTTTTGTTAAATTGGAAATTAGGATACAATTACAACAGTAGCTTGTTAGCTCACCTTTAATTATTATTATGGTAGTCAAAAAATATAGGATAAATTAAAAAAAACTTTGGCTTTAGGATGGGATGCTTCAGTATAGATTTTCTGAAAATAGTCACTAAGCAATATCTTCGTAATTTTTAATTGTAAAATTATATACAGGTTGCACAACAATAATATTTATTAAAATAGAGATATAATAAATATAATGCAACATCAAACAATACAATGTTACGTTGAATGTGACATTGAAGCTTATCTGAGGCTGTTACTATTTACTAGTCAGTATTGTTTTAGTTTATGAAGCTGAACACTTTATTTATGAATGTATTGCTTGTTTAATTATATTGCACTAGCTATTGCCTGCTGAGCAAAAAAGCAAAAGTAAGTAGGCTATGTTTTTTTTCCAGACTATTCTCTACATGTCAAATTTCATCAACATCTTTCAGTATTTTAGGTGACAAACTCTAATAAACAAACATCCATCCATCTAAACTTTTGCATTTATAATAGTATGATTATTGGAAAAGTGATTCACAATTTGATAGTTATTAATAATGAAATAATGTGAAAGGTCTTTTTTATGGCTTATTCTTTTCTATTCATTGATAATAACAATTCATTATAAAACCCATAGTATAATTAATAAAGATAATATTGTCTTTTGTCTAACTATCTTGTCTTCGGCATATCTGTTTATCATTATTTGACCTTAATATAGAGCATTTGAATAATTGTTTTATATACAAAACTAAGTTATCAGAATATTTTTCCCTCGAGGTTTAAGTATTTTGCAACAAATACAAAAAGTATGCAAATTGAAAACTTTAAAATTTTAAGTAAATAAATGTGATGTAATTTATTATTTAAATGTCCTTTGTTATTTGTAGACAGTTAAACTGTTATCATTGAACATAATCTTATCATCTCTCTATTTGTATGTAATAAAATAATATACTTGAGAAATGTATTCAGTAAGTAAACCTTGTTACTTCCATGAATTACTAAAATGTTTTTGAATTTAGATAATTGTATTAATTTCTAACTAATTGAGACTTCTAATTGACAAAATTTTAATGAATAATGCTGATGATTTTCTAAGGACGAGATTTAAAAAAAATCTAAAATTATTGTATTCTAGTTTTGTAATATTGTACCATAGACAATTAAGGAATGTTTTGTCAACTAGCGACTTGCCTGATCTAACAAACATTTCTCAAGCCAATTGTAACTCGTGGCGAAATAGTGAGCTAGTTAATGCTATTGGTTTTAATTGAACTGTTAAGGGCCAAGAGACGCTTATAAAATGGCGTTAATTGTGACTTCTAAATTTAAATCTCTTTGTTCAACTAGAATGAAGAAACATACTTTGTGATACAAAGCGTTTACACACATTGTTTTTTTGTAATCAATAGTTATGTTACGTGTTATTATTTGATGTTAGCTCATTTTAAGTGAACTTTAAAATGAGGTCACGTTTGTATCGATGCGTGTGCAATCAATAAATCATACTAAATGATAAACGAATCAAATATTTCGTCATAAAAGTAGTTGCTAGGTGTGAATATTATTTTGTAAGTGACAAATGAAAATACAGTACAATAAATTTGGCGCGATTCTCTGTTATTTCCAAACTTATACATTTTCTCGAACATTTTCTAGACAATAGCGACTTAATAACTACAGTAAAAAATAATAATAAGGGAACACCCTTCCCATCAGAGCCCAAAACCTCTACAACGTAAATAACCCTTGATAACTTAAAATCTCTATAACTTAATATATTTCAACTTATCGAGATTCTTCTGTAATAAGAAAACTTATTCCAGTATGTGATCCGGTGATGGGAGACAATGGGAAGATGTATGTGCCAGAAGACATTCTCCCAGTATACAGAGATGTGGTGGTACCACTAGCTGATATCATAACGCCGAATCAATTCGAGGCTGAACTGATAACTGGCATGAAGGTCAATGACCTGAATGACGCTTTGAAAGTGATACGTGCCCTTCACGACAAGGGCATTAAGACTGTCGTGTTATCGAGTACGGAATTAGGAGATGAGAACAATATGATCGGTATTGCAAGTACTCAAGGTAAATATAAAGAGGAAATATTTGTATTTTTGTATGTATTGAAATAACTCAAAAACTACTGGGCCGATTTTAAAAATTCTTTCGCCGTTGAAAAGCAACGATATCACTGAAGGACATAGGCTATATTTTTTTTAATTTCACGTGGAGCAATTCGTTGACACAACTAGTTAATGATACGCTAATAAAGTTCATTGACACGAATTTAAAATTATAATTCAATTTATTATGCGATAATTTATCGGTCGTTTTAAAGTCGAACAACATTGTCGTTTCAGTAATTTATTTAGCTAAGCTTACAGAATTAGATATGAAAAAGACGTTAACCTTAGTTATTTTGGACTTTTCTAAAAAAAATAATAAAAGCCTATTTCTATGAACGCGATTGTTATTTAGCGGCCTATCCCACGGCGTCAGCGCGGCTGGTTTCTAATTAGATAGCGTCAATTCATACTCAAGGTTCATGCTACAAGATCGAGATACCCCGCGTTGACGCGACCTACACGGGCACGGGGGATCTGTTCGCGGCGCTGTTCCTGGCCTGGGCGCACAGGACACATAACGACATCAAACTGACACTGGAGAAGACCATCGCCACGCTGCAGGCTATCGTCAAAGATACATACGACAAGGCGAGAGGTACGTACTTACGCTTTTATGCACACCTGTAGGTCAAGTTATATTGGACATAAGCTAGCAACGGTGCAAACGTGTCTGGTAAACAAACGTGTATCAAGCCTCGCTCATCGTATAATTCTGTCCTAATAACTTCTTATTATTTCTTCTTTTCTGCAGAGAAACAACCAACAGGCAAAATACCACCAGCGCTTATAGAACTGCGACTTATACAGAACAAGGCGGTTATTGAAGACCCAGTTATCACTATGACGGCTGTACAGATTGCCTAAATGTTGTTTTTATTTCATTGTTAATTGCAAATTTAGTGCAATGTAATTTTACATTATTATTGAACATAAGCATAATATATTTCGTTTTGACGACTAGCTTTGGGCATTATAATGCTTAAGCATTAGGAGAAATTGTACCTTGTAAACAAGCGTAAATATAAAATTTATTAAAAATAATTATTTATTGCTTAATTTTTTGACTTGTGGCTATCCTGTTGTGGTATTAGTTACATGTTTTTTATGTTCTAGTAATTAGTGACTTAAATATATAAAAAAATTTAATTTAGTCAAAATTTTTATTTTGTTGTTATGACGACATATGTACGAACATATAAATTATGATAAAATATTCCGTGTGATAATTTATTGTTTATTTAGATTTTATATTTATAATGCAATGTTGTTTTATGACGAATTATAATAAATTATATGAAATAGTAACACTTGTACATGTTAGGTAATTTATACTTTAGGTGCTTCTATAAGATATATAAAAGACAATAACATAATAAATCAAGATTTGTTGAAATGTAGAGAAATTATTTAGGCAAAAGTGTTAAGAGGTTATTATTTGAAAAGACACTGCGATTTTTAAATATTTAGCAATATAATCGAAAATACATGTAATCATTTATATGTTTTTAAAATTGAATCAAATATAATAATTTGACAATGAGCGAACAATGTGTGATAAAAGATATTTGTGGAGCAATAATTAAATTTCGACAACTGTATTGTAGCATACTCCATCTCTTTCATACCAATATGTAATTCTCAGCCTTTGTCTTTCTATCTCACTTGCACATTTTCTTTACTCAAACTTTTACGCATATCATAACATAGTCTAATTGACCAAAAAACAGTCTTCCATTTGATGTTTAATTTATAGTCTGTGATAAATAAGAAAACGTTGTTTTGCTTTTGCATAAAATTTTTAACCAAATATAGTAAGTGTTATAAAAATCAATACAAATGATTTTATGTACAATTTAGCGTGTTACATATTTATATTTGAAATAAATGTTGCTACGATATTGCGTTTTATTCACTTTATTGACAACATATAGGTTAATTTAACAAATCAATTTTCACCACGACATTTGAATATAATAACAGCGATAAGCATTAGCACGAATAATATAATATGGAACATCCAATAAATAGAGTTATAATATCTTAGAACAACTTTGGTCTCATCCACAACGAAGCAGGGAGTCAGGTACAGCAAGCAAAACATGCGCATTATCGAAAAACCGATATCCCAAGGTAATTTCATCTGTAAATGTACAAAATAAGACCATATGTGGTACAGTCAACAGAACACATTAACGTAAGTCGCCCTAATGATCGCCGAACTTCGAAAAAATTACCTAGTGATTCATTAGTGTTAGTTCTTTCAACGTATTTCATGATAACGAACCAAAAACTAACGAATGAAAACGTAGAAACCGGCCATAAGAAACAAGTTGTGATAATATTTACCGATCCTTCAGTGTCATATAATTCACTATACTCAGACTCCAGATGTATGATGACCCATAGCGTGGTTGATATGATTAGCTGCGGTATAGAGGGCCCACACCACAAAGTCCATAGCATGAACGAGAACGCACTCCTAAAATATTACAATAAACAGAAAATTGATAGAGAAATAATTTGTGCCATCATCTTCCTCTTTCCTTATGAAAGGTCTAAACGGTAATAACTAATCTACCGTATACCCCAATCATATTTGCATTATGTATTACTAGCTTCCGTCCGCGTATAATTAAAAAACAAAAGTGAGTAACCTATGTGTTCTTCTAGACTATCCTCTATATCTATACCAAATTCTATCGTCATCAGCTGTTTAGGCTACAAACTCTAACAAATATCCATCCATCTAAACTTTCGCATTTACAATATTAGTAAGTTAAAAAACATAGATTTTTAATTTCAACATCAAACTTCAACGAGTACAACAGTGAAAATCTTTTTGTCTTTCCACGTATAGAAATGGTTGCGTCATTTAGGTATATACGTTTTAAAATAGTAAAATCCTATTCAAATTAAAACACCGAGTATTTTAAATAATGAAAATTTTTATAAGGAAATTTCCTATAAAACAACTACAAGAACTTGCCTTACTTGCTTATTGGCCTTTATATACTTCCTGTAAGCATACGCCCAGTACCAGTATCGTATTGACATGTCCCAGGCCCGCATCGTGTCTTTCATCTTAGGCCCCACGATCAACTTCTCGATCTCAAATGAGTTCAACATTTGCACGTTGTATTCTTGTTCTGATGCAGCGTCTGGTGTTTTTGTACTAGAAAAACATCGATTCCATTATTATAATCATGAACATCTTTGTTGAATTAAATCTCAGAAATATTACTAGTATTACAACTACGAAAATTTAGATGAATGGATGTTTGTTGTATTTTGTAACCTAAACTGCTGAACGGATCTCCATGAAGTTGACATAGACGTAGAGGATAGTCTGGACGCACACAAAGCCTGCTTTTTATTTAATTTCCGTACAGACGGAGTAGCGGCCGAAAGCTAGTGTAGTATAAATGCATAAATTTGTATGCTAACTCAAAACTCCAGATCGGCTGAATATATCTAAATTAAAATTGTAATCGAGACTAGTAGTTTTCAGTCCCATACAAAGTCGCGGTCGACAGTTAGTATACAGTAATTACAACTTACATTAAATTAATAACACTAAAATGTGTGGATGGTCCACTGCCGGGGAGAGGTGCGCACTTAACCGGGTACAAACCAAATCCGGACTCCGTGCAGACAGCAGTACCAAGCAGTGCAATCATCTCCGTGTTCAAATAGTACATTAACAGCAGGGGGATGTTGAAAAGGTAACGGTAGTCGGTGCCGAAGTGTGTGTAGAAACGATTTTCTTCGTACATCTAAACATATTTAATTTAATAAGAAGGATAGGACTAAACCTAGAACAATACCCTAAGAGAAATTGATCAATAAACAAAGTAAACTTATGAAATCTATAAATTGACTTTTAAGGGCATTTCTCTACAGGTTTAGGTCAAGAGTAAGGTAGGTTACAATAAAGATATGTCTAATTACGTGAGTATTAAATCTGGAGCGAAGCATCATGTATCCAACCGCGCACAACACCGCTTTCTTTATTTTCTCTTCGGTGACTATTCTGCAGTCGCCTACTGAACTGAAAGGCGCATTTAGGTGATCTTGGAATATTCTCCATTTGTAATAAGTACCTAAAATCAAGATACAAGAAAACTATAAAGCGTCGAGTTAATAAACTTACATTTCATGCAACTGTCGTGTTATCGTACACGCGTCGTAATGACCTTTCTCTGTTGTTTAACCACGAAACACACCAATGTGATTTTCGAATTTCATATGTACATAATTTACCCGACGTTCTTACGATGAAAGAAAACATCGTGATGAAACCTGCATATATCGGTGAAGAAATACAAAGATATGTATGAAGTCAACCAACACACACTGGGCCAGCATGGTTGACTAACGCCTAGTCACCCCTTACTTAGGATAGGCTCCGAGCCCCTTAGTATAGGGGATACCTATATAGTGAGCTGGTGATAATGAATACTCATTTACCTTTATGTATACCAATGAAGTAATAAGCATAAGCCAGAATATCGACTGCCTCAGGTACTGGCATCACTTCAGCCTCATTGGGTGTACTTTCACGGTAGTTCAACCTAGGCTTCTCCGCTATACTCAACTCACACGCGAGTCCCACCAGTCGTAATGCGATAATTTGAAATATTCCGATCATATACGAATGTGATGGTATATTGTGATGTATATACAAGAGATATGTCCATGAATATGCCAAACTTATTTGATGGACGTAACTGGAAAAAAAAATTTACGCCTACACAACTGTTACATAATGTACATATGATTATTTACATATTTGCAAAGTTAGTGTTTAAATTAGATTTTATCTTTAAATTTTAAACTATCATCAGTGTGCTGTTTTAATGCTAAAGTAATTTTGGGAGGGGACGCGAAAACGTTCAATTAGCAATGTATGAAAGGGTTTTGTGAGATTATGAATTGCATATCAAACCCTGGAATTAAAAAATCAAGCCTTATTATGAAATATTACTTACTGACGATCACAGGATTTTAGTATCAAGACATTACCACAAACCATTATGAATGTATGTAAGATGTAGTGGCCACAAATTAGAAATGAAACGAGCAAACCGAGACCCGCTCCGTAATTCCGTTTCATATCAGTTTTGGCGATTTCTTTGTAATGAGATCCGAGAGAGAGACATACTAAAAGGGATGAAAAATATATTATGTCGTTAACATTCATGATTCTTTGATTTCAAATTAAAATATCCAAAAGTTTATAAATTTTAATAACGGTAATTCATTGTTGTCTAGTTGTCATTTTAATGTCAACTTTATTTTTTAATTCTGAAACATTTTTTTTAATTAACACAGATGATAAATATTTGAAAAATAAATTAGCTATGAATGTCCTCAGAACAACGATTGTCACACACACAGAAATTCAATACTCTGTGTGTATAACGTTTATTTTTGCACACGAATGAGGAATAAAAATAAAAAGACCATATGATTAAATAAACAATTTACTACACATAATGTAGGTTGACAATAAAATATTACTAACAGAGGTATTAACATATAATTTAACATCTGATGCAGATTTAGTTGCATTTACTTAATGTAACTTAAACAGCTAAGTAGCGAAAAAGAAACATGACTTAAAGTTAATTTGTTTGCAGTGCGAGAATATTTGTGTGAATAGAAAATACATTAAATAAAATACCTTAAATGCATTATAGTTAAACGTCCAAACTATTAATAGGTAATTTGGTACATCGGAATGTTAAGAACAACTATCTCAGCAAGAAAGCGGACATCCTCCTCTACTAACAATGTCTACTGAAGTAGACAATTAGCATAAAAAAATAACTTTAATAAAATTATTGCTGACATAAAAAGGCACTTCTATTTTTGTAATTAGTCGTATCAATTTTAAAACATTGTACATTTTTTTGCAAATAATTCTTGTATTTTTATTTCCATTTCTTATTCAACATTCACAATTTTATAAACTTCGCTTCAGTAATTGTGCATTTCAATTTAGCCCGCTATCTTAACTGTGACTTGATCCTGTTAGAAAATTATTATAACATCAAGCGTAAGCAACTAAGCGAGTTTGTAAGAAAACTAGGTAAGCCTCGAACGTTACTACGAAGTGATTATCACAATACATATTAAAAGATTCAAACTTTATAACACCTCAGCGATTAGGCGCTAGGGTCTGCTGTTGAGAGAAAGCACATTAAACGAAGGATGTTTGGATTTATCTCCATGGCATTATTCCACTGACGTGGGTCGACGCAGTGTTTTTTTAACTTTAAAGTTTTGGTTTCGATCGGATGTATAAAATGTGTATTTTATGTTACACACATGTCAAGTTACGATATTCCGAGCTGCCATAAAGTTTGAATCGCACTGTACAATGATCTCATCAAACTAACCTATAATACTGCTCAAACTGTTAATTTAAAAGCTATATTTTACAATTTCTTAGATTCAACGAATCATTGTTCAGTGTTGTAAATTCAATTGACTAGCATCTAGATTCATATTCTAATAGATAAATATTATCAATCACACAATATCAAATATCTAGCAAATGATAGGATACATTACAACATCTACTTTACCGATTAATTTACGATACTATCGATTTTGTAAAACTATCAACTAATTATCGATTTATTTTAATTTCGGTTTAAAATTTGGCAGTATTCAAACTAGCATCTTGTGGGATTAAAGTTACGTTATTAATGAATAAAAAAAAACATAGGCATGTAGTTACATAACAAATGAACTACAAACTTAATGCTGCCGTTGACAGATTTAACATACATATTTACAATTTACTAAGAAATCTTTTACATATTATTTATTGTGTCGACAAGAAAATACAATTTTAAAGCAATTGGTTAATAATTGTTAAGACTTTTTTGACATTAATAAGACGAATAAAAGAACAATAAATACTTTAACGTACTCTTTATATGTGAAAAGATGAATGGTGTGTAAGAATACTTTATTTCAAAATAACTGAAATACTTAAAGCCAAATAATGGTTATAAAAAATAAGAAACGACTGTGTTACAAAATGGTAAAAATTGTATGAAGGAATGTTTATGAAAACACTTTAGCCTTAAGACAATTACATTCATAAATACATCTGATAAAATGTTATAAAATCGTAAAAATATACTAATCTATATACTGAATATATACATAGTAATTATTGCAATTTACTTAATAACATTATATATTTATTTTCTTGACACATGTATGTGTATGTTCGCATGTGTTTGGATAAAAGTTAGTTTTGTTAACATCACATAGCACAGTTACTAGTTGAGATAAACATTCTGGATATAGTCTGTTCCAATTCACGATTTTTATAATAATATTTCTTGTACCAATTAAACTCTTGGCTTGTGTTAGGAACACGATAGTCGAATGGCGGGATTCGAACCATCAACCATGTGATCGAAAATCCGTAAAACCAATTAAATCAAAACCATCCCATTTCCTCGTTTTTTTGTTCATAAACTTTTTCATCCTTTAATCATGCTTGGAACAGATTATATAATATACCGTATTTTTTATACACTCTTAAAAGTATAATCAAAAGAACTGAATCTGCATCAGATATAAAGACATTTATAAATAAAAATTGCATTGTTACAAAAAAACATTCAAAAAGTCGTTCAGACGTAGACACAGTATATTTCCTATGGAATATTTATTAAATTATAAAACCACGAGTAAAATGAATGTACATTACATTATATTAATATTAAAAATTTGTCTAAATATTGCATTTGTTACTATTGTTATCGGTCGTCACATCTATATGTAGTTAGAAAAAGTATTGCCTCTATTTACGAAAAGGAGATTTTATTCATTAGACCTACTTATTTCGTATCTATTTAAATAAATAACAAACTTAAACAGTTGATATGAAACTCAACAAGGTATATGAAACAATTTAAGTACAGTTCAATAAATAGATCGATCGAACGACCGAGTTACTAAATACAACTAAATAGTCGCGGAGAGAGCCCAATCAAGTACCATTTATATCGTGTGCAATAGTCGGGGTAGAGATGTTCGATGCCTATCGATGTTAAGCCCAAACATCGATATATCGATACTTCGTACCATCGAACATCCCTATTCGGAGGTACGACCGAAGTGCTATAACTTCTAATTACGTTACAAATCGATTAAGTCGAAGCATCTATAGTTACGTGTTAATATTAATCCAATTCGCATTAAAATTTCCAAAGATTTTTTTCTAATATTCCATTATAAATTAAGTTACAATTTTTTTAACGCTTTTAGTAATTTTCGCGTGACCTATTGCACAAAACACATACGCTAGAATTATCTACTCGATTTATATATACTTTTTTAATTCTTTACAATACCTACCACATAGTTAAATACAACATCCAGAACAATATATTAATAATTACAAAATCCAACCGTGCAAATAAACTAAGAGAAAATTAATTTACATTTGATCGGTCCTATCACAATATGCTATAGGATGAAATTCTGAAAATCTTCACCTTGACTTAACAACTTTAGGGGCCGTTCACACACAACGGAGAGTAAAGCATAGTTCATTTTTATCGCAAACAAAATTGATCTTTATACGATCGAATCTAGGTTTTATTTACTTTGCACATGGTTTAAACGCTTACTGTTAATAAGAAAACACCTACAAAGTAAAATTGAACTTTGTTATAATGTTCTAAAGCTCAATTTTATTTGCGTTTCACTATCTTTTCTATTCTACATTCCCGTCTGTCTGAAAGAACCCTAATTGATATTCCTATTTACAGGATTATCGACATAGTAAATTATTTCAATCTATTAAATGATAAAAAAATGTATCGAAAAATAAAACCACAAAATAAATCAACAAAAAAATAAATTTGTTCGCTAGTTAACAAGAGATCGAATTAGTTAACTTCGTTATATTAAATGATTTGTTCCGCTAACGTTATTAATTACATTAAATCAGATTATATGTTTTTTTTTTATTATTAATTCCATGAGCATAACTAAAGTCACAATTGATTTGATATTGCTAAAATTACACTACAGTTACAAGTGTGGCACTGTCATAAATATTAAAAAAACTTTTGATCTTAGATCGTTAACCTTTGAAATGTAGCAAACTTATCTTACGAATGTTCTTTTACATTTAATCAGATTGCAACAAAACATCACTTCACTAAAGTTTATCAATTGTCCAAACCACTTAGCCATTTGCACAACTCTACTAGTGACCACTGTAATTTGGTCTTCCGTACAATAGAGATGTACAACACTCGAGCCGCGTACCACTAATTTGATGGACCTAATTAAAATCCAGGGTTCACATGGCTTTATTTCACCTACGCACTCTACCTCGAACTCCGGACTACGGGATTCGATTATCGACATATCTGATAGTACATTGCTACCGATTCCTTTATACAGAAAGTCGTCAAATCTTTTCCCGTAATCAATACCTGTAATTAACA